GTCCTTGCTTATGTGAGGAAGCTTGTAATCGTTGCTTCCTTTATGGATCATGATCAATTCCTTACACTTCTGCAATATAATGAAAGTACTGTCTAGCTTTTCTGCGGTTATTTCGTCCCATGCTTTATTCACGTCTTCAATAAGTTCATCAATACTGGACGGGGACTCTTTGTGTTGTAATGATTGAATGTTGTTAAAGAAACCCAAATCGAGGGCATTGAAATCTCTGTTGTTTGGTGGTTGACAAATTATTCTTATGTTCCACCCATTTTCAATAGCAACAACTTCCTCATCATTAACACTGCAATGTGGTTTAGCATAATCTTGCTGAATTTCGATTGGCATGGTTCTACTAACAAAAGGCAATTACCTCTAAGTATATACCTCTAAATAAGTTTCCTTGTAAAGCATATGTGTACATTGTCAACACTCATACATAATTATAATTTGCAAATAATTTACACATTATCGTACAGTATGGTTCCATGACAAAACATAACAGTCGCTGTTAGTTATAAAATAGTAACAAAACAGAACAAATAAAAATCAAAATTCTCCTGTTATGTTATTCAACCAATGAATTGAATATGGTATATTGTTATTAATAATATTTATAACAAATATTAACAAATATAGGGTGAATTGATATTGGAAGCACGTGCAGTCGGCTTAAAATGTATAATTTATTGTATTTAAAAAAATGTAACTACTACAAATTCCTGCTGTTCATTGTACGTATAAGTAGATTTATTTTCAAATGTTTGTAAAACCAGAAATCTACAATAGCTCTGCGACCACCGGATCAATGCAACAAAACGTCATTCGCAGTAAATAATGCGGCTTTTGCCCAGTTTTTGCGAAGTTATGGTAGCATTAAAATCTGCTTTTTGCGGTGCGATAATTAAAGAATTGTTTATTCGTAGCCAGTAAATATTAGCTGCCTAATATCATTTCTGTCATGCGTCGAGGATGTAATTTATATTACACATACACACGATTTTTTTTTAAGGCAATTTATCATATCCCATGGCATATCAAATTATAGCACACTCTCACGCGCACTTGCTTTTTCGTTGATGTCTGCATCATCCCTCACTTTATACATACCGAAATAACTAACAAAAAAAAATAGAGAGAACAACAAACATTGGCAATAAAAAAATGTATTACGTCCATGAATAGCTAAAGCTCGCAGTCATCGTTAGACTAATTAATAATACGGATAATGGTTAGTTAATATTCAATTACCGGCATGTAATCTATCCGATTGACGTGTTCGATGTGCGTTAGCCAAATATTGAAACGCTAAACGCATTATCCGAAACGATTATCGATTTGCTACAAATTGTACACCAAAAATGTATCAATTACATAATTGACAGTGATTAATTGATGTTTACTTATCGTGTGCGAGTAATCCATTATTATAAATTCAGTGTTAATATCTTGTCTTATTCAGATTATGTGATAATTGAGGTTTTTTTGATTAAACAAAGCTTTCAATTAAGAAAAACAACAAAACTTGACTAAGATGGTTGGTAAAAATTAAATAAAAACAATTTTATCTCAATTTTCATAATTTTGTAATTTTTCTGCATAATTTCACTTTATTCCAATACAATTCTTAAGTCGGTAGACCCACCTTTCAAAACATTCCTCAAAATCGGCGTTTTGGAACTTTTCAAGTTCAACATTAACACGTGCCTTTTTTTCTCGTCATTTAAAATTCGTGAAATCCATCTAGCGGATTTCTTCATGTAAACCAAGTGATGACATAATATTTGCGACGCAGCAACATTTAACATGAAATATCATTAGACTTTAACAAATTAACAAACAACTTTTGTTGTTTTCCAATGAATTAACGCTTACTTAGATATTATTTATTAGATCCATCGTATATGTGGAAAATTTTATATTTATAATATAAAAAAAATAATCATTATATACTTTTATAACTCAAATTTAAAAATTCAATGATTATTTTATACCAATATTTCTCAACTTATAATTCACGTTAAATTTTTAATGAATCGCGCAATGACAGCTATCACCTTATGGCGAAATTGAAAACCAAATATAATGGCACGCCATATTTATAATGTTGAGAAACGCAAGTTTATACAAAGTAAAAACTTTGTCACAAATATTTGAAAAGTTATTCAATTACATATATTTTTACCATGTAAATAAAATAAGTATAAATATTACGAACAAAAACTCCTTACAAGCTCCCAGGTAATATGAGCAAAATCTTGAATAATACTAGAAATACTTTTCAGTTAATATTATTGATTCGATTCGATTTGTTTATTTTTTTTTATTTTCAACAAAATAGGAAAAATTATGGACTATGGCCTTTTACAGAAATTAAACTTTTTTTGTTCTATTATTATTTTTATTGAATGAAAATATTTGTTTTATGCGACTTTTAAATAAATATTATTATTTATAAAAAAAATATATAGAATTGTTATTGTTATTTTTTTTATTAATATTCTCGGGTAATCATTTATTGAGTTTAGATGCAATTCATGCTTTGTTTTATAAATTCAGGACAAAAAAATAATTATTTTGAAAAATAATCATTTTGTTTCGCGTAGCCAATGCAAAATTTATATGTAAAAAAATATAAATATTCCAATAAAATAAAAACAATAACTATAGATTTTAAAATGTGTCAACATTTATATAGAAAAAAGTTATGATAATATAATAATATTTAAATTTGATATGTGTAGTCGTAAATATTTGAAGAAAATTCGATTTCCATTTACAGATAATACGGAATGGATAAAAAAAAAATATTTTAAGTAATCAGATTAGTGCATTTATAGTTTTGGTCTTTCAGGCATGCCACAACAATTGTGAACATTCCAATTTATGTACTTTGCGGTATGCCGATTGATTGCGAAACACCACAGCTGAACCGCGCAAATGTGGACATAACATAAAGTTCAAATTGTTGTAAACAAAATGTTGGTGATATTCCCAAATTTGTCATAATATAAAATATATAAGGAATTACATTAAGCTGATATACTTTATATTTATATTACGTTTACAGCAATACCTCGCTTAATACGGCATCTATCTGTGTGGATTTACTATATTCCGATTTGGAAAAAAAAACTAATATGTAAATGATCGGTTTTTTACTTTATTTCTTTGAGGGGCGGTGGGACACATATTGTCGCACTTTTTGAACATGTCTAGTGGGGTATTATTATAAATTTCTAGGAAATGTCCAGGAAAGAGGAATTATCTTTTAATTTTGTTGGCATGTCAAAGGATAAATTTTGATATGCCCTACCATGCACATACGATGTTGATTCAGTTGACGTAGCTGTCTGATTCAGTTATCTATAAATTAGTTGGGTCTAGAAATTTAGGTATTTTTTTGCAAAGTGTTATATAGTCTAGTCTCCTATTGTGCTATATATTTGTATGCAGTTTTAAAATCCACGATTAGTCAAGTTTTCAACAATGAAAACGAAATCGTTTACCTGGACTATGCGAATGAGTAAATCTCTCATACATGAACAATAAACTGAAAGAATAAATATAAAATATTTAATATTAATTGATTGATATTTTTACTTGGGTTCATGTTTACATCCCACTTCAGGTAACTACCGCAAATGGCTTAAGGTTTCTACTTTTACTTTGTTTATATCTTCTTCTTTCGACGCAACCACGTAGCATTAATTTGTGTGTCACATTTATTATATTATACTTCAAATATATATTCAAGATTGTCAAATTATTGTTATAGTTTTTTAGAAAAAAATAATAATAAACAGTGCCATATGAAGCAACTTGAATGGGAGTTGAAGATTTAATTTTAACATAAAAACGAGTTTCTTATAAATCTAATTATGAATTTGTATTTAGAAATTATATATTAAATAGTGTTTTTTTTAATATTGAAAGACAAAACAAAATAATATTATAAAAGAATACATTAATAATATAAATAACTTCAGCATATTAAATAAAATACACATCGAGACTAGTACAGTTGTCTTGATTAAGCGGCTGGTCCAATTATCCAAAGTTCCGGTTTAACCGATGACCCAATTAAGCGGAATCGACTGTATTTGAATAATGTACACTATTACCTAAATGATTTAAGAATCCTGTCTTGATATTTTTAAATCTCAAATTCACATACAAATCCTGGAACATTAGAGCTTTCTTTTTTTCTGAGTAATATAGTAAATGGTTAATATTACCAAAAGAGCTATAATAAAATTATCGGTATAATAGAAAGGCTGGCTAATTGTGGCATGATCAACAAATCAGGAAATCAAGAATAACGCTGGGCGTAAGTCCATGACGTGGGAAGGTTTTAGATGCCACTTCCTTTTGTTGAGAGGAAGAACTCAATACTTTCTGCTCTCCTCAGAGCACCACGCTTCTTCTCCGACAGTTAACCTTTGCTCTTCCAGACTCTAGAGCACAAACACCGTCTATCTGGAGCACACAAACACTCTTCTCTACCGGAGCGCTCAAACGTTACAATATGTAAAGAATATGTAGATTTATTTTTATCTTAAATTAAGGCATTATTAAAATAATTATATGAATGAATTTTCTGTACATATTTCAATTTTCTTTTATTAATGAAGGAATTACACAAATTATTAAAATTGTGTATATAATTTATGTACACAATAAATTATGGTTAATATTTGTTAATTTCATTCTTTTTGAAATTTGTATATAATAAGATAATTTTTCACAAGAACAAGGGTTGAGTAATTAGTAATTTAAAGTGACTTATTACAAATGTAATGCTTATAATTGGATCTGAGGTAGTGTTATTATGGGAACGACGGACGCGATAATTCCGCAAAGTTTATGTCTGGCGTTGCTCAGCGAAATAATACATGTATATGATTAAAGACGAGGATGTGGATGTCGCATGCATAAGTAATGGGGCCATGATGCTGCTGATGGTGGTGTTGTTGATGATGCAATGCTGATGGACGGGTATAATATTGGTTTCAGATCATGAATATTGGTACGAGCAGGCGAGGATTGCCTTGCGGAAGAGATTGCAGTACGCCACGGACCGCAAACCCCACGCCAAGAACGTTATCCTGTTCGTTGGTGACGGGATGGGCGTATCCACGGCAACCGCTGCGAGGATCCTCCGGGGCCAAAGGCTGGGAAAACGCGGAGAAGAGCACGAACTCGCCTGGGACACCTTTCCTGCAGTCGCCCTTGCAAAGGTAAGAGCATTTTCAAATTAAAAAAGAACTACAAATTAATGAAACTAATAGAGATTTTAAAAACGGAAACAAATAGAGAGTAGCACTCACTAATTAAAATTGCATCGATTTCTTGCAACCAACCGAAACTTTTTAAGAAATTACTTGTCCAGTTTAGAACTTTCAAAGAATGAGTTACTTTCTTTGAAAGCCAATCATTTCCAATTGATTAAAGTAAAAAAAAACTTCTAAATCTAGAACCTTTCAATTAATTTCTAGTAGTTATGACTATAATATTAAATCCATAATATAAAAGAAATTAGTATTAGTTTCTATTAATAAAGTTTAATGTAATCCAGAAAAGTACATATTTTTTTACAAGTCTCGTGGAAAACGGAAACTTTATAAGAAATGTCTCTTACTCCATCGAACTTTCTTAAAATCTACTTCACAGAGTAATTCGTTCCAGTTGCTTTAAATAAAATAAACTTCTACATTTACTTTTACTTACTAAATATCAATTAGTAATATTTTTAGACATTGTTTAAAATGTTAGTTTTACAAACCTTTATAAAATATTTAGAAAACTTACTAATTTAAAACAATATAGTATTTAAGAAGTTTTTATTTTATTGAACTACTATTTGACGTTATATATAAAATAATTATAAACTTAAAATATTATAAGTTTATTAATAAATTTTTATAAATCTATCATTTTAAAGCTCTTGGCGGAATCCGGTTATTGGAAAGAATATGTTTTTGCTAGTTTGCAGCAAAAACTTAAACACTCCAATATAATCAGGAAATATTTATTCAATTTATTCAATTATGGATGGTAATTATAAAACTAACTGAAAATTGAATGAGCTTTTTGTCCCGATTTTGTCTCACGTTTTATTCCTATTTTGTGTCGCCTTAGAAAATTTTCTTTTTAAAAAAAAAATGGTATTTAGTAATTTGAGAACACGTCAATTATCAAACTTATATTTCTAAATATTGTTTAGACATTTGTTTGTTGTGCAGCAAAAAGCTGTTGTTGACAATTAATGGAAGCGAATGCGTTTTAAAGTTTTGTAATATTCCTTTTTTTAGATAACAGTAAAACTCGAGTTATTTGCGGATCAATAAATCCTTGCTGCAAACTTATAACTCTCAAGCAGCCCCGAGGGTGCTCAGTTCAAATCCAATCTTTTCTCCGATGGTACTAGAAGCCAATCAAACTATGAAAGAGCTACACTCAGAACTAGTTTTGATGAAAGCAAATCAAACATGTACAGCAATACCTCGCATAGTGCGAAACCGATTACGTTCCGCTGAAACCGGACTAATCGAGGAATTATCCGCACTATACTTGTATTGCTGTATATACTAGACTGTGTTTATTTTATTCTTGAAATGTTTGTAGTTAAAATTGTGTACATTTGGAACTCCATACGTGGTGTTTATTTTTGAGAAAGATGTGTGTACGCTTAGGCAGAACTGAAGATTTCTTAAAGAAATGTATGTTTGTTAATTACGTTATAACGATGAAGTTTTGTGCTGCATAATGCTAGTTATCCAGATCTGCAGTTTCAAACTAAATGTTATGAGAATAAGCAGCTCAAATAATCTGACTCTCAGGCGACTTGATAAAAGCCTTACCTCCCAGCGATTTAAACGAGTAATTTATTTTATCGGTTTAATCTATTCTATCTGCTTTATCGACCGTTTTAGCGTATCGTTTAAATAAACACGAAATAATCGGTTTAAATCCAAAGAGATCAACGGTAAGCTCACCGATTTCAATGTACCGAAATACGATAGAAGCAATCAAGATTTTCTATTTACCATTGATGCAACTCCTGAACTCGATCAAGCGTATATTCAATCCAATGAGGATATCATTAAATTTATTTATGGATACGCAAATCACATAAACATAAATCGCTTATTCAGAAGTCAGAAAGAAATAATACAAAACTATGTAGATCAAAGAGTTTTCGGACCCTAATAAATAGGTTTTGAACGTAATTCGAAATCTTATTAACGTGCAATAACCTACGGGTCCGCTTACCATTCAGATTTATGGAAATTTGCTATCCCTTCCGCATGCAAACTCCAAATTTATTGTAATATTCCAACTTCCCATTCTCCATTTCCCACCCAACATGCATCAGTTCCGAAGACGTAATTTATATTAAGTGAACAGGTACATCCATAAATAACAAAATCAACTGCTCGAGATGCTGAGAATACGTAAATAAGAAGCGGAATGATGACAGGTTTGTCGTATGTTTCTGACAGTTTAAGGTCCATATTCCTTATGCCCTTTCACGATCTCGCTTTCTTTTACCCACTTCGAACCGATTTATTTATTTGTTTGCTCCACAGGAGGGAATACAGAATAATCGAAAAGGATGTGTGTTTTTTTGTACTTTTTCTGTATATAAGCATACGTTATATACAATTTATTATACAATTCAGACACACGGATGGTTCACGTGGGTTCCTTTTTTTGTGCATACTGTTTTTGGTAGATAAAATTGATTTATAACTGTAGTTTCCATGACTGGTTTGTTAAGGGCGAATGGAGGAGAGAGGCAATGGAAATGTGCAGATAATTGTGCCGGGATATAAATGAAACACACCGTGCGCTGCGGTGTCTGTATTCCAATTCCAACTTGCAGGATCGTATATTCCTTGAGGCCAAAAAGTTCAATTTCTAGAGTAATCATTTCATACAAAAAAGGAGAGAATGCTACAACCAGTTTTTGCGCAATAAATTGAAATCCCGCAGTGGTATTTTGTATTCAAAATTCATGAGAAATAATAGAATTTACTTTATTATACAGTTAAATCATATTAAATATTTACTGTTAAGAAAAGAGAATACATGAAAATGATACAATTTCCTTAAATATGAAACAAAAATGAGTAAAGACACAATTTAAGCGCTTATAACATAAATATAATATATAATGAATATAAATATAAATATTAATTTCGGTTAGTATGTAAATTAACTGACAAAACTATATAATATTATTTTAATAATTTAAACTAATCAATTTATAAGTATTTACATTTAGTAGTTTAGTAATTTGTTTGGATATACTATTAATAATTTAAAAAAACCTATAAATAAAAATATAATCATTTCCTACAAAACTTTATATAGCGTGATTTGAGATTTAATTTGACCCAAGTTTGTAAATAGGGCGACTAATAGCCGAATGGTTAAGTCGCCCTACCCACAATTTAGTGGGCCCCGGTTAAAATCCTGGTCAAGCCAGGCCCTTTATGAGCCCAAATGGGTGCTTGCAGCAATGAATGCTTGCAGTGATGAACGATGGCCCTCGTTCATCACAGATATACAGTGAAATGTATGAGGTTCAGTCAAGTCGATAGACAATGACAGTGTCAAGGATAACAGTGAAAGGAAATAGTGGAATTACAGAGCAATGATATACTTCTGAAGTTAACTTAACTATCCATGGTACTAAACTTTACTAAATCACAAATAATCAAATAAGAAGTAGATTTTTTTCACAAAATAAATTATAGTAGTCCTTTCATGAGTCTTATTATGCAATAACTATAATATTACATCTTAAGGTTATTATTATATATTTGGGTAATAAAAGTGAAAATACGATGTTATTCATGTAATACGAACGTCAGCTTTATGGTTATTCTAATAAATAATACAATTTTGTAGTAAATAGAAATATACGATACGATATAAGTTCAGTACAATCAATTTCTTAAATTAAACTTTTTACGGTAAAAAAAATTTCGTGCTCATCAAATATAAAAATTCATCTCGAAGCTTTGTTACCTATACATTAAATGTATGTAGTGTAGAAATAAAAATATTAAAAATCAAATACAGTGGAACCTCGCTTAACGAGTTTCATCTGTTGCAAAATTTCCGGATTTTTACTCGTACAATGAAATACTCATATCGTGAAACACGTTTTACCATATAAAGTAATGTAAATTACGATAATGTGTTCCTTGTCGAAAAAGAAAAGTATAACTTGGTCTCCATTTTTAATGATATTGCTTTTCATATCTATGGTTATATTAAATTTTGCACAAAAAAACACAAATGTTCAGACATGAACACAACTTTGAAAATTTTGTGATCACAAACAACACTAAGATGCAACTAGAATGACCACTAACACTAGGCACTGTTTTCCAATTCACATACGGTGAAGTGAGTTTATATTACTTGTATCATTTCGTGACTTGGTAGAAGTCTTTTTATACTTTTAATATTTGTTTATATAAAAAAAAACGTACATAGTATGTTTATATATTATAATAATGGTTGTACACAATACATTTGTGTTTTGCATTTACAGCAAATCGCGCAATCCGGGACTTCTCTTCTCATCGCCACTCGTTATGCGAAACGTCGCTCGTTAAGCGCGTCGTTTTTCTTACAATTTATTTTGCTCCTTAAGCGAAATGCTCGTTAAGCGAGGTTCCATTGTACTAATAAAATAAATACTAATTAGTATAGCAATTATTACAAATACAGTGATATTTTTTTTCTATTTACTTTACATAATAAGAAAAGTGGAATCTTTTGAAATTCTGCAACTCTATAGGAATAATTTAATTGCTAATATAATTTTGTCATAATAATAATTTAATCAAATATATATACGACTAAGTTATACAATATTAATTGCATGATATTGATTGAAATTAGAGTAATTATTTCATACAAATATTATTGAACCCTCTAGTATTCGCGCATAAATGTATTACGTTAGAGACCGCGTGGGATACATTTGTATATTAATTACTTGCTTATAGTACACAACTTTTATTCTTTTACTTACTTTATAAATTTATTTGTAAATATAAAAGAAATAACATAATGTATGTAGAATGATATATTCTGATATTGCTTACACACCTAGTACATTTAGTACAAACTAGTACATGCTGTACAAACGTTTTTCTGTCATATTTTTTTTGTACAAATATGACAGAGTGCGTTTCCAGTTTTCTCTATTTTTGGT